AGAGGTTCCATGCCCTTAACTGGAAGACAAACGAAAGGAAGCAGCCAACTGATACAAGCCAATCCTCAAACTAGTTCACTAGGTAAAAAGAAATTATGTGCCAGCCAAATTCACTTATTTTTGCTGGGACCTGCTAGCAAAAGCAGTGTAAAATCATGGGCTCACCACCTATCTATCAAAAGTTCTAATTCTTGGTGCTCTAGAGGTCCTTAAAAACCCAAAGATATGCCATTCTCCTATAGCACTACCAACATGGAAGGTAAGATGCTAAACCCCTTAAATTGGATGGGACACATTCTTATGAATCCAAACCTTAACCAAATCCAATTCAATTCAATCAAAACTCATGCATCCAACAAGAGAGGGATCCGCTCTGAAACCAAGACTTAAAATCACATGCTCACAGAAAACCCAGCTCATCGCATTGGGATGCAAAAAGTATCACGGTTACTCCCCTAGTGTTATGCATGTGAGGGATGAAAGATTACATCCATGGAAGATATGAATAAATGTAGAAATAGTAACATCTTAAGCACAGGAGAGAAAACCTTGGAGGGGTCCGTCGTCTAGGTGGGCTTTTGTAACGTCTATATGGGGAACGCTCTGAATACTTTCTGTAGCTTGAAAACCTTCACGAAAAGTACTAGGATAAATAATGATATACAAGAAAGTAACTTCAAACAACTAGTAGCATTTTTCCTCTTTATTTAATTAAAATGAAAGAAAGAGTACCTATCACGGTTCCTTTCATGATGGTAGTATCTTGGAGGTGATCGCTCTGGAGAAGGTGTTCGATATCTACGTGCAAATGAGTATCGGTCAGTAAAACCACGCCCTTTTCGAATACGTTTTGGAATGCCATTTGGAGATGGGCTCCGTGAAACACCTTGACCACGGTCAGGAGCAGGGGCCTTGCGAACAGGACTATTTGATGGACTTCTAGAAGATTTTCTCTGGTTCTCTCCAGGCTTCAAAGGGAGACTTTCACTTTCATTCTTGAGATTTCTTTTTGGGCTCCTACTTCTGGCTCCCCTACCACTGTTATTCTCTGTTCTTCTGGGGCTTGGTATCATGTCTCTGTAAATAAGCCATGAAAAGAAAAGTATTACAAAAACTATTATTAGAAATCTGTTTGGTGGTCAAACACTGAAAATAACAGGAAATTAATAAATGCAGGAAGAGAAGGAACTAGCCAAGAGCAGAAACCTTGATTTTTTCGAGTCATCTGAATAGGCATTTCGATCAGTTCGAATAATTCCAGTGTCATGTCCATTCTTTACGACCTCATTGTTCTTTGGGGACAGTTCGCCTTCCTCATGTGATGAGTTGCTCTCAGCTGTCTTCGTGTCAAGGTTCCGTTTCTGCTCAACAATAGCTTCTTTCAGAGAGGAAGTAGTTGATGATTTCTTTCCAGCATCTGCAACATTAAACTTACACAAGTGACTAAAGCATGTAAAAAAAAAGGAATCTAAACAAAAAAATACCACAGAAGCAAGTAAGAAGCAGTGGCAGCCAAAACATGGCAGTAACATACCAATATTAGATAATGGTTTTTTCCCAGCATCAGTTGAATTTCTGGTTTTATGAGCAGAAAGGCGGCGACCAACGTTTCCATCATCAGAATCACTGCTACTGCTAGTACTCTCAGTATTAGTTGAACTCTCTGACACTCTAAAATGAAAACGCAATAACAAATCAAGCAAAACTAAGCAGGAAACATGAGAAACACTGAACTTGAATTAAATACTAATCACACCGTTTGGACTTGCGTGTTGATCGTTTGTCATGTCTGCCTCTTTTACTCTCCCTCCGCCCATTTTTCCCTTTCTTTCTATTCCGATATTTCTCCCTTTTCACTGACCTTCTCTTCCTTCGTTTTCCATCACCAGAGGAACTTGAGTCGGATGATGAGGAACCTGAATCTGATTCAGAATCTGAAGCAGAATCAGAATCCGAAGATGAATCAGAATCAGAATCAGAATCGGAATCAGACAAAGAGTATCTCCTTTTTCTTTTCTTCCTTCTATCTTTCAGAGATTTCCGGTGTCTCCCTCTGGCTTCAACATCAGAACTATCCTCAGAAGAATGAACTTTCCTTGACCTTTTACTTTTGTCTGGTAAAACCACAATATGAAGTATCAGAAAAGATGTGTACTCCATCATGTATGTTAAAAAAGAAAGCAATATGCTGCGTACAGAAGCATATCAGATAGGTAATCTGTGCTCACTATCTAATTAATTTTCCATTTACCTTTTTCTTTTCCAGCAGCATCCATTTTGTTTTCCAAATTATCGCCACAGTCAACAATTTTTACAGATCGGGCAGGTTGCCCACCACTTGATCCCACTTGCTCCATTTTCTTCACAACTTCCATTCCCTTCAAGACCTTTCCAAACACAACGTGCTTCCTGCCATATAATAATTAATGAATCAGTAACTGTAGTAACTTATAGAATCACCAAAATCAAACCTCTTTAACTTTTATAAGATGACAATATCAAGAAGCAAAGATCAAATACCCATCAAGATGAGGCTGGCGCTTGAAGGTTAAAAAGAATTGAGACCCATTTGTGTTTGGACCAGAATTTGCCATAGAAAGAAAGCCAGGTCCATCATGTCCCAGTTTAAAATTCTCATCTGCAAAAGAAATTTCAAAGCATGAGCAAGTTAAACAAATTAAGAACACATATCAGTGCTAAGAAACAGAAAACTGACCTGCAAACTTCCCTCCATAAATACTTTCTCCCCCAGTGCCTGCAACCAATGAAAGTCGTTCCTTACATGTCTGGGCATAATATAAAAGTCAAACTGAGATTCCACATCAACTAAAAGAAATAAGTTTGCAGTTTGTTGTGTGTGCATGTGACTGTAGAAAAGAGAATACCATTCCCATTTGAAAAATCGCCACCCTGTAAGAAACAAAGAAGAAATTAAACAGTTTGTGATATCAGATTATACTCTGGATGCTGAAACAAAAGAAAAAGAAACAGAATAGAAAATACTGTCCTTAACTACCTTCGCTAATCTCCTAAATCCCCACTCTTAAACTTTATTTTCTTGGCATTCGTATGATCCTAATGCAGTATATAGAACACGGCAAAACCTTGTATGACTTGTGTTCTTCTTGAAAAAAACTATTTATGTCATATTTAGGAAAAAATTGGAGGATACGCCCAGCGATCACTGATATAAAGAAGACTTCGCAACAATCAACCCGGCAGTTACTAAATGCCAAGTTCTAGACAATCAATTCTGATAAAAGATTGTCTAGAGCTGTATGAGTTTTGT